TGTTTTTCATGAAAGGTGTCAGAGCACAATTGTTATATGAACATCAACAGACTAGAGGAGCTAAAGAGTATGAAATAAGTGACTGTCTCACAGCAAGAGCAAAATCTGTTTTTCTTTTTGTCCAGTGTCCTTGATCACTCGATTAACTTACCCTCGCAGTTTCCAGGATGGCAAATTGCACCAAGTATTTTTTCCTCTATTTCTTCCAGAACCACAATTATTTGAGAAAAATTAGTTTCACCCTCAACCAACTTTCTTATAATAGCAAAGCACTTTTTCCCCTCAAAGCAGTCAGCTTTCCAGAGGTTTTTTGTTCAGCTTCCACCTGCTAAAAATATCCCCCAAGTGATGTTCTTAGTCCACATTCACACTGCTCCCCTCTTCTTAGTGTCCTGTCAGCTTGATCTCTTCTTGCTTCATTTTTCTTTTCCATTCTTTTTCCATGTTTTCTTTTCTTTTCCATTTTCTTTCTTCTTTTGGGTCACGGGGAGCTGGAGTCTGTCCCAGATAACTTTTGGGAAAAAGGCAGATGGCACCCTGTATTGGTCGCCTGTCAATTACAGGGCACATGTAGAGAGAGACAACCATTTACATTCACATTCACACTGGGAAATGAATCCACATTGTTTGCATTGAAGTCAGATGAATGTACCACTCAACTATCAATATCAATTTAAATGACACTCAGGAAGAGCTACACAGAGACTAGTGGTAGAATCTGGAGGAGAATCACATAGAATCCATCCACACATTTTCTATACCACTTGTCTTGATGAGGGTCACGGACATGGAGCCTATTGCAGTTACTGGTAACTTGTGGTGGAAACACCTTGGACTGGTTGCCATCCAATTGCAGGGTACATATTAACAATGAACTGTTTACACTCTTACAATTTAAAAATTTCAGTATACCTAAGCAGAGTACTCGGGCTGCCCCCTATTCCCCCCCCCCCCCCCAAAGAAAAAAGATAAAAACATGCAAGCACCGGGAGGATAAGGACATGAAAACTCCCACAGTACAACAAATTGTTGTAATTTATACATCGTTCCCCTGATTTGATTGTAAATACTCGCAGATTAAAGCTCAAAATCTGAAGTTAAAGTACACTTTGTTCATTTCACTTCAATTTAATTGTGCTGGTGTGTTTAGGGTCAAAAAATGAGAATTGTGTTGACGTTCCAATATTTATGGATCTGACTGTAGAATACAGGAAAAAAATGAGCAATATGGTCGATGACTGCACCTCCTGCCCGAATGCAGTGTTGCCGCTGGGCAACAGTGCAAGGTTGATGTGCGTCGAGAAATAAGCGCTAGACAGAGCACCCCCATTGAAAGTGCTTTCCTCTAATTCTCTGTGCCACACCTGGCTGTGGCATACTAATGATGGAGAAGTGACCTACATTTCCCTCTCACATCATATCACAGATCACAATGAAGGTGTTGCGAGGGATTTTTTTTTTCACTTGTGGCTGTGATCTCTGTTTATGTGTAAGACACAACACAGGGGTTATCATTTAGCTTAGAAATGGCAACCAAGAAACGCATATACCATATAATAACAATACTTCAAGCAGTCGATAAACAGACAAAAATGCATTCTTTTTTTTTAATGGTGTATTCAAACACATGCAAGTGGAGCACAATCAAAGAAATCTTGATGATTCCAGAGTCTGTGGTGTTTCATATGGAAGCAGCTGCAACCGTGTGATCTTTAAACTGCACTTCTCAGGGGACATCATTTTCAGATCTGTCCAAATGTTTTTGTAGGGAACAGCTGCTCACATATCCATGATGTGTCTGTTTGGTGTCTATACAAGTGTTGGTGGGTCCAATCAGATTGTACAAATTATCTCATTGATTTTTAAAACATGTTACATGGAATTTATTGGAAGTCAAGGAATACATTATGCTGATATGGCTAACTTCCTTTCTTGTTTGCAGCCCCCTCGGTGCTCACCCCTATGTACATTTAACCTCTTGCTTTTCTCTTTTATGGGGGGGAAGCAGTTTCCCTTCAGGGAAATTTGACAGGTACACCACCTTTCAACAAAAAGTACAGGTGGTCTCCTGGGATTCAGGAGGGAAAACTTCCTCTGAAACTCCATGACATTTAACTCAGGCATACCATCAAAGCACTAGCACTTTATGTAAAAGGAATATGAGAGGTTGTGAGAAACATTAGATACTGCTAAACAGGAAGGCAGGTACAAGTGCTGTAGTGGCAACCAAATATTTAAGGAAACAACTATTGTTAAATTTACATTAAGAATTGATTAGGCGGGTAGCTCGGTGCGCAGCTGGTTAGTACGTCGGCCTCACAGTGCAGAGGTGCAGGGTTCGATTCTGTCTCCGGCCTACCTGTGTGGGTTTTCTCCGGGTACTCAAGTTTACTCACACATTTCAAAAAGAAAGATTAATGGAACACTCTTGTCCCTAAGTCTGAGTGTGAGCACGGATTGTTGTTCGTCGATGTGTGGCCTGCAATTGGCTGGCAACCAGTTCAGGGTGTACTGTACCCCGCCTACTGCCCAAAGACAGCTGGGATAGGGTCCATCACCCCCCGCGACCCTTGGATGGATGAATTGATTCAGCAAAACAAAAAGCTTGTCATGTCCGTTAAGTTAATATTTTGGTCCAAATTTCCTGTCAAAATGAAAAGGACAAATATACAGTATTTTGCAAGAAACATGGAGCGCATATTAATTGCTTTAGTGGGCCACATAAAATGACATGGTGGACTGTTCAGCTTCGTGAGTTTGACATCCAAGTTCTGGGGGGAAAGTAGAAAGATTACCCACAGACACAACATCATATTGGAGAAAGGCTTTTTACAATAGTAGTAACCACAAAGGGTAGACCGCTGTCTCAGGTCCGCTCACTTTAATAGCCTGCTGTCCCAGTATTTATGCTCATATTTTTGGCTGTGCATCAAAGCATGATCAAAACACATCACAGCAAGCAGGACGTTCCCTCCATGCTGTGCACTTGATGTCTTTAATGCTGCAGAGTAGTGCAGCCTCTTTTGTATTTTTTGTGTTCTTCCACACTGAACCATGGCAACACGCCACAGCCCGCTGGGTTTATCAGCTGAAGGCAGGCCATCACACTAAATGTATTTAATGAATGAGGACTAGGAAGCAACACTGTGTTGTCCCACAAACACCTTCTCCTTGCTGCGGCACTGTGTCCACATGTCATGAAACTTAAAACAGAGACACTCCCCTGCTGAGATTGTGATGCTTGCCTATTGTTGGTTAACACGGAATAAGTAAAACAACAGAATGCACATCGGGTGTTAAAAAGCGAATCACAACCTTACTGGTGGCACACTTTGAGTGACTTTCAGACATGTTTTGTGTTTGTGTCATTGATTTCCCTGGTAGTCTGTATTCACTGCAACAGCCATTGTGAGGTGAACACTATCTATCTTAAGATCAATGGCCCATTGAAATCACCAGGGACAGATGGGGGTTTTAAATTATTGCTAAATATATTTTAGAATATCAAATAAAGGCTGGAAGGGCTGAACTAGGGCTACACAGGTTTCTGACCGGACTCCCCCCCCCTCCCCGCCCCAACCCTGGTGTAGCACATCCCTGGAGGTCACGCAATATGTCCTTTTTCCCCCCAATTCTATCCAGATGAATTGCAATGCTTTTCATCTGTGTAGTGTTTGCACCGCCGATTACAATATTAATCCACACACACCAAGGATTATGGTGTGATAGGGAAGGCACATCTGGGACAAATTGAGGTCGTAGTCTTGGACGTCAGGTTTGCGTCCTTTTATCCTTTGTCTGGATTTATAAAGGCAGTACTATCCTAGCATTGCTGCAGAAGGATGATTGGATTAAGAATAAACCACATGCATGGTGTAACATGGCCAGGAAAAGATCACACAATTTCACTTATATGAATGCTGAATGATTCAAGTTATTTCTTTCTTCTTTCAATGTCGACATTGACACAGAAGTGGTTTATTTAAATTATTTAGTATTCTCTCACGAGGGGTATAATGTTACTGTGGTTTGTGCTCACTTTACAGCCAGAAGGTTTGAAATAGCAGGATGGGTGTGGATGGGAATTGCCATGTTCTTATGCTTAGGTCGGTTCTCCAGTGCTCTACCTTTCCTTTGTGATGAAAACAATCCATTGCAAGTTTACTGATCAATGAAGGATGCACCCACCTCCTACCACGAGTTGCTTGTAAAAAAATCAAGAAATACAGTGTCAATATGTGAAGGATGCTGTTTTTTCTGTTCCCTCTACCATACACGAAAAGGGGACAGTATTATAATGTCTGCAAAATCTGATGCGCCATTTCATGAGCTGAATGAAGAGTTATGCTTTTAGAAAGATAACAATGGTCAGTTTTGATTGACACTATCTATATATATTTAAAATATTTTGCTGTCATTATTGATAGTCATAATATGTATTGTGACCCCCCTCATCTGGGGCATAAGTGATCAATGAGGTTCAGTTTACTTACTTGTTTACTACAATTTGGCCAAAGGGAGGCAGCATTGCGCACATAACCTGAGAGCATCCCGCTAGAGTTTTGCCACCCACTCATCCCTACACTCACTACCTCGTACGTAATTACCTTTAACGAGCAGCCTAATGAGTTGCAAAGTGGAGCAATAATTTTATCCGTTGCTTAAATTTCCGACGCATACTAGAAAGGCAAAGTTTTGTGTTATAAATTATAAGGTGAAATTAACTGGTGATATGATGTACAAGTTATAGTTCTAAATAGGTAGCGGATTACATTTCTTAAAACATACATCATAGTCATAAAAAGTACAAGTGTATTTTATTGAATTAAAGATTAACATGCACTGATGTCAGCGTATGGGTTTCATTCAGATCGCTCCGCTATTGGATAATGAACCGCACTACTCAGAAAACAAACAACAACGGTGATAATGCATTATAGCTCCGCCTCTTTGACCAATTTTCTGCGTTTTAATTGGCTGTTGAACGTGCCACTCTCCATCTTCCCAGGGTAGGTTGCTCTGCACCTTTCAGATGCTCAATTGATGGGCGTAGAGCGGCTACATTTACGCTTTTTATTAAAACTAAACAAAACCACGTTGTGTCTAGTTTGCAGAGCTTACTTGCTGCAGTTGCACCCCCACGAAGCTCGTCATTTTTTTTTCTTCGCGACACGCCGTGGCCAGCGGATTTGGACGACGCTATCCGCTTCATGACATTTTTACCGAGAAAAGACGCTGCACGTCTACAGTAGCTCTAAATCCTTTTAACCACTTTCCAGCACTGATGTACTTCTTTTGTTGCCATCTCGAGGCACAACGCGGTTGCCTTTACAATCATGGGTGAAATGCACCTGCCGCGGATCGGAGTCTTTGGAGCACAATGCAATCTTCACCGTGGATTTTAAATCGGATAACCCGAACTGAATGTTTTGCTTGAAACGAGATGGCACATGCCCAGTTAATGTGGTGCATGTGTGAAGTGTTGTGCTTGGAGCCGGGCACGGTGACAGCTGAGTGCCCCTCCTCTCACGGGACTTGAATAAAAAGGCGCTCCCTTGCTCCGGTCTCACTTTCACAAGCTTTCCCACACTCAAGATGGAGCTGTGACATGTTGACACCTCTCCTCATCTGGTTACTTTCTCCGCTTACTCCAACGTGGGACATCCGCTCTGCAAGTGTATGGCACCAAACCGTGCTCCGCTCCGCGACATTTCCACACAGATGATCCTGCGATATTCAGTGAAGGACTGAGCCACCGGGAGGATTTGTGTAGATTATCGCCAGACTGCTATTTTGTTCCCAGGCTCACACTCCTAAGCGAATTTAGCGGCTTTGAACCAGCTGCCTTTTCCCCGCTGGCCCACGCCAGGTCGTGAGGCTTTATAACAAGAAAGCCACATATGTGGTTTCAGCCCTTAGCGGTCTCATATAGCGCTCTCGCCGCGGGGGGGAATGAGACCACTACCCACGCTATTGTTCCCACGATGAAGGCAATAATGGCTCGAGGAGTGTAAAACCACCTTGGACATCGCGCCCGAGCTCATCCACACTCTTCTCCGGATCCGCTGTGACTCTCTCTCGGGCCGCTACCCGGAGGATGTTGGACTCAGGATGCTGCGCATCCCCGTGAAGAAGATACGGAAGCAGTTTAAGCTGCTGCTGCTACTGGTGCTGCTCACCTCCGCCGTGTGGTTCACCTACCTGCACATACACCAGGGCAAGACAATTAAACTCCACTTTAACTACGGAAAAGGTAGGATCGAATCAGGACTACTTGCACAATTTTATGATACTGAACGCAAGAGCGGTTTCAACAAGTTCGCCTTTTCGAAGACACTCATGCTCAGTTGTTTTTGAAACAGAACGATATTCATTTCACTAAAGAATGCAATTTCTGTATAAATTGTGATAGTTGAAGAGGTGACGCTGAACTGAAAATGCTCTGGAATTACTTACATTTTTGCAATGGAGAACATGAGACTTGATGCTCCCCCAACGTGGACTCCCTATATGAAGTGATTTTTCACAAATACCTCCTTATGTGTAAAATCACGATATAGAATTTCATACAGAGGTCCCATGCAAGGTGTCCTGAACGAGCTGACTGTTTTGAAATTCGAATGGTTTGAAATGGTCAAGAAATATGGAGAGAGGAGGACCATGTGTAAATTACCTGTTAATTTCGAAATTGTATCGTGAAAGGTATGGAATGTTGGGAATGTGGAAATTACTGGAAGTTGGAAATAGTTCCCATACGGTTTGATGCTGGAGTGGGAAATAAAGGGGACTTTTTTTTTTTTTTTTTGTCAAATATCACATTTAGAATGTTTTCTATTGTGTGTGTGTGGTGGGGGGGGGGACTTTGGAATCTGGAGAAATTGGGTTTTTGGGGCATGGGGAAAATAATTGCTTGGATGTCCTGAATGAGGTGAATATGTTTAAGTTGAAATGGTGTGAATCAGTGGACATGTGGATGGGGTAGAGTGGTGAAAATTGCCGGAATAATAATAATCATCAGGCATTTTTTTCTGGTCCAAAATAACGTGAATGCATTTCAACATTCACCCATGTTTGATGGGTGTAGTTGACAATGGCTTTTATTGTAGACAAGAAAATACATCAATGTGATTCAATATGCCATTGTCAACTGCAAAAAAAAAACTCAATCCATCCATTTTCGAGCTCGCCTACCCACATTTGGTTGCGTGGGTGTTGGAGCATAACTCGGCTGACTTTTGTCAAGCGGCAGCATACACCTTGGACTGGTTGCCAGCGAATTATAGGGCATATAGACAAAACAACATTGCTCTCTCGCATTCACACCTATGGACAATTTTGAGTATTGTGTCAAACTGAAGGCCTGAGGGACAGATTTTGCACGCCATATCATTTTATCGGAAAGACCAGTATAGAAAAAAAGCCTCTATTGTCAATATGGGCAGATGCTACAAAATTAGGATGCTATTCAAGGTTTGTGTTTCAAGAATGGAAAATGCATACAATCATAAGGTCCAAATGGCAGTGAGGTACACATACTATATGTAAAGTAGTAGCGAATGAATATAGTAAATACAAAATTTGCAGTTCAAATGTCAGCAAGGTACATGTTATATGTACAGTACAATAGCAGCAGAGTCGGGACATTGAATGTTCAAACTAAAACATTACTACATGTGCAGTGCAAACGGTTATACGGCACGTTATGTGTCCAGTGCAGCAAAGTCGGGCTGCCACAACTGATTATTTTCATAATCGACTGGCCACCGATTATTTTTGTGATTAGTCCACAAATCGGATCATATGTGAATTGCAGCTTATTGCACCAGCAAGCATCTGTTCTTATCTCACCATGATTAGCTTCCAGTTTTGTAGTTTTTCGCTATATGCAAACTAAAAAGAAAGACAATGTAGATAATAGTGCATTCAACTTTTAATACAATTTACTGCTTGCACCAGCGTTCATGGCATTTTTGGGTATGATGTTTGAGCGCTGTAAAATGGAACCAAAAACTGTGCAAAATGCAGCTGTTGTGAAAGCGCTATATAAATAAAAGTATTATATCAATAAAGATGTATTGTATGTATAGACTTGTTTAAGAACAACAAGGAAACCGGGAATAATGTATAACAGGTCTGTTTTTTTGTGCTCTTTTTGAAATGCTCTGTCCTTATTGCATAATCGACATTGTCTAACAAAATGCTCCAACAACAAACACCAATCCACTTTGTATTTTTATGTAGTTTACAAGCATCGGCAACACCATAACAAGTGTAACAACACCGCTTTAATATGGTCACTACGGTAATGCTTTAATATGCAACAGACACCACATTACAAATATAAAGGTCATGAATGAAACAAGCAACACAAATACTGGATTACTTTGTTGATATAATAATACATGGCACTGCACCTGGCTTTTCATCAATTGTTTTTGGTTCCGACACACCCGGACACGTTCGTCTACAATGACAGTCCCATTGCAGAACTTCATGCAGGCTGGAACAGTAACCTGGTGTTCAAAGGCACTCCACTCAGTCTGTGAGAAACGCTCCTGTACTTGAAGCAGGGCGTTCCTTGGGCTTGGTGTTGACGATTATAGGTCAGAGGGAGTATTAGCATCGGATGGTATAACATTAGTGTTGGCATCGGGTGGTATGTAAACAGCCGTGGTTAGCACAGCTGCTCTCTGGGCATTTAGAATGGTAGTGATTTAACTGTGTGTGTGTGTGTGTGTGTGTGTGTGTGTGTGTGTGTGTGTGTGTGTGTGTGTGTGTGTGTGTGTGTGCGCGTGCAGTTAAAGTATTTATTTGTGGATGTTATTGTGCACATTCATGCACAAACCATCCTCTTCTGCTGAAGTTTCTGTTAAGGCCCTGCTACTACAGCCAGCGACCTGCTAGCTTTATAGCCTGATTCTGAACGTGCAAATTTAGCTACATATCTGGTATAATGGAAACACAAGAGTCTTGGATGTCATGGTTTTCCCTGTTAGATTCATCTCTTTCGTTTTGTGAATTTTGGGTCTGGTGTTGGTGACAAACATACTCACGAGGGGAGGTTTGTACGACGGGCCCTCCCTTAGTCGGGCTAGCACATCAGAGAGACATCCCTGCTTCAGCATCCTGTCTCTCTTCTGCCTTCAGCACTTGTCAGCTCTGACAACAATCTGGATGTTGTGTGTGTGTGTGTGTGTGTGTGTGTGTGTGTGTGTGTGTGTGTGTGTGTGTGTGTGTGTGTGTGTGTGTGTGTGTGTGTGTGTGTGTGTGTGGTAGAAATCCTCTCATGAACAGTGAACAAAAACGCTAATTTTCTCTGGTCCATGCTGCGTATTATATTCATTAAGGCCTGACTGACTATGTAATTACTGAGTGGGTGGATGTACGACCATCACACACATACAAAAAAAAAAACAATCAAATGCATGGCCCATTGTATATATGTAATAATATGGTTAGGTAATTATATACATTTACATAGTTTATACATTCACTACAGATGTCTAAAGGAAACCAGACACCAGAGTGGCCCTGCCAAAAATGAATGAATTAATGAAAAAAAATGAAATTTTGAATCTCTAATTAACAGTCAACATTCATGCATTGAGTGCGAGTTTGACGCATGTCTGTCCGCTCTCATACTTTAATTTCTCACTGCAAGAAAGAGTACCACTTAAAAAAAAATCGAGTGGAACCAGGAGTTTACTTTTCCAGTTCTCAATCATTCGGAGTTGTAAATGTTGGTGCTTCATTTCAATGCTGTATTTGCATGGCTGGAGAAGGACCAACAGGAAATATTTGTGTGTATACAATGCGCGGCCCAATCCCCACCCCTGGAGCACAGGCACGGGCACACAGCAGCTTGTCAGGGGAGCAGCGGGCGGCGAAGGTCCCCACCAGAAGCTGCCGAAAAGGAACGAAGAATGACCAATAACAAATGTGTGAATGCGACGGTCAACAACACACATCTCGAATGACAAAGCAGAATGTGGCTGTCCGAACAGCGACACCGGTCAGAATTGGGTAAGTGAACCGAGTGGTAGACTAGTTGTTGCCCAACCCAGAGGTTGGGGGTTCAATCCCCGGGCATTGCAACCATGTCGAAGTGTCTTTGAGCAATAAACAGATCCCCAGTTGCTCCTGATGCTGCCTCATCAGTAGTTAAATGAGGTAAGAGTGTGAAGTACTTTGAGTGCTAAAGGTCAAAAGCGCGATACAAGTGACAGCCCATTCACCAAATGGATAAAAACGGCTGGATGTTGCTGCTTAATTCATATTCCACAAACGCGATATGAATCAGAATGCCGTGTTTACACGGGTGTTGGCGCATAAAACAAATTATTGTCACGAATAATTTGAACTTGACTTCCTCTTTAAACTCATTATTTTCAATTCAATTAAAAAAATTTCAATCATTCAAATCCAAAATTTCAATATAGCACTTATTGTTGCACCTCATTAGATTGCTCATGTGTCTCCTCTATGGCCAGTCAATGGAAGTGAACAGAAACATGTGGTAGGCTTACACAAGAGAATTGATGGCAAGTGTCGCCACGGTTATTCAATCAATACATTTTGTCACCACCCAAATATCAGAGGAAGCACATATAAGAGACGTGTTTTATGAATGAACATTTTTTTCATTAAACAGCAACGAGAAACCCACTGACTTGAAACAAAATAATCTAAGGCAGTGTTTTTCAAACTTTTTTGAGCCAAGGCACACTTCTTTCATTGGAAAAATCTCGCGGCACACCACTAGCTGAAAATGTGAAAAAAAAAAAAACGCTAATTTGAATAATTAATGTGTTATTTTGTTACTATAACCGTTTTTAGCATTGAAGAATGACATTATAACAGCTTGAATTGGAATCAAATGAGCACAAAGAATAAAGTATTTTCTCATCTTTCATATTTATTATTTCACCATCGTCCTGCATTCATGCGTCACAAATTCGCTTGTCTCTCATCTAAACACAAGGCAATTGGCTAGCTGTTGCTGCTCCCTAGCGGTATGGGAGGGTACTACACGATTAATTTCTGGGCGATAGACTGCACAGGCATACAAATTGTGGATATTTTCCCGCAGCACACCTGACAATGTCTTGCGGCACACTGGTGTGCCGCGGCACAGGGGTTGAAAAACACTGATCTAAGGTTCTGTGATGTGCTCATTGCAGCAAGCATGCCATTCAATGTGAAATACCTTGCAGGTGTGAAGATTCCATCTTTAAACTGCTGGCTCTTTTGACC